CATGAGCGTGTCGTTACACTGCTGCTCGAGGGGGGCGCTAACATTGAGGCAGTAGATTATGTTGGCGGTACTCCACTATGCCTGGCTGCTTTAAAGGGGCATGTGTCTGTCTCTACATTGCTGCTGGAGAGGGGAGCTAATATAGAGGCCGGAGCTCACCGTATTGGAACGCCGCTATGCTTGGCTGCCAGAGGGGGGCATGAGACTGCCGTTACACTGCTGCTCGAGAAGGGAGCTAATATTGAGGAAGCCAGTAGACATTGGGGAACGCCACTCGTCTGCGCTGCTGAAAATGGACATGTGACTGTCTTGACATTGCTGCTCGAGAGGGGAGCTAACACTGAGGCGAGAGAATATTACAACCGAACACCACTACACTTTGCCATTGAGAGGGGTGATGAAAATATTGTCAGACTCTTGCTTGAGAAAGGAGCTATTATTGAGACAGCAGATCGGTTTAGCGGAACACCGATATGCCCCGACGAGGGTTATAAGACTTACAAGGACTGGTACTTTGACATGGGACAAAAGCGTTGCGGCAAGTCATCTCTACGCTTGGCTGCGGAAATGGGACATGTGACTATTGTCAAACTTTTGCTTGAGAAGGGTACCGATACTAAGGCAATGCATCGTTTCGGTCAATCATTACTATGCTGGGCAATAGCACAGGCGCATTGGTGTATTGTTGAACTTTTGTTAAACAAGGGCATCAGTATCGATGCAAGAGACCCTTCCGGTCAAACGCCACTACGCTTGGCCATTGAGAACGGGCATGAGAGGATTGTTGAACTGCTGCTTGAGCAGGGCGCCAACCAATATATTGGGCAGTTGAGAGGGCACATAAGAGTATTGTTGAACTGCTGCTTGAGAAGGGCGCCAATATCGAGGCAACAGATCGCTGTCTCCGGACATTGCTATGCTTGGCAGCTGCACAGGGGCATGAGACACTTACTAAACCTTTGCTTAAGAAGGGCACCAGTATTGAGGCAACAGATACGTCTGGTCAATCACTACTTTGCTCGGGTGTTACGAAGGGGCAGGAGACTGTTGTCAAACATTTGCTTCAGAAGAGCACTAACACTAAAGCACGAGCTAATCTTGACAAAGCTCCACTATACCCGACTGCTCAGAAGAACGAGACTGTTGTTGGACTGCTCCAGAAGGGACGTCAGCATTGAGGCAGAGGATCATATTGGCCAGGGCCCGGCTTGCTGAGAATCGGCGCTGGTCTGCGGCGGAAGCACTGTAAGCCAAATGGCTTCATAGTTGTCAGGGAATAGGGTACGTTCCGTGCTTTGTCTCTATACCCTGCCGCCGAGCTTGCTTATTAAGTTGCACACCATTACAGAAACGTGTTTTTGAAGCACAAAGAAAGTTTAAAGAAAGAGAATACGCTGGAAGAGCTGATGGTATGACAACCCTTCTACTGGACCCAGCGGCTACTGCAATCAGTACTCCGGAAAACGAGGTGGTATGGGTGAAATAAGTGCATACCAGAAAGAAAAAGAATAAGAGAAAGGAAGATGTGGTCTCATGGAAAATGCCTGTTTTGTTTGGCGGGACTTGAAGTACACGTCATTCTCACCATCACGGCTCTGTCTGTCACGAAAATCCAACTGCAGATCCTCAATCAACGACGGCGTCTCGGGCTTATTGACCAGGTTCGGAATATGTCCCCGAGTTGACAGGGGCCACGGAACAAGAGCCTTGATAGCATCTGGCTGGTTTTTCGCCCTCTAGCAATGTGAGTATGCTTGGACGAACATCGGTCTACCGCTACAAAGTCTCAGACAACCTGAAGTTTCCAAAAATTTCTCTCACATAGTACATGAGATGAGGCTATGGACAATCCGAACTGTAAGCTTCAAATAGCATCTTGTTTCCTTTGACAAAATGCGGGATGAGTGCTGGAATACAGGAGCCCAGCATTAATTCTGCATATTTGTTTCGCCTCTGACAGAGCGCAACTAGGGAATCTAATGACCATCAGCTTTTGTCAATCTCCGGTGCCAGAGGGCCTGAGACACTCACCTTCATGTTGCAATAATGCTTGGAGACACGTATTATTCAACAAGCTGTGGGCTAGCACCTTTGCCAGGTTCGGATCCCCTTGACAGTCCAGCGAGTAGGGCCAAAGGGGGCTTGCAGGCTTGACGGACGCAGAAACAATGTGACGCACATTCAACCAAAGTCAATGGTTGAAGACATTTTTGGATCCTCTCACATACGACGGAGGCCGATAGGAATCACAGTGCTGTAGTTCTGGGTGCGGAAGCGACCCCGTCGCTGACGTGTGTCAACCGTGTCTGTTGACCCTGGGTCAATGTGTCATGGCATCCTTTTGTGGTGTAGCAGTATTTGAAGTTGGGAGGCAAGAGATGCAAACGGCCACGGCTGAACGAGGCCACAGAGCGTCAGCTTAACCACCGATGCGGATTTGTTGGAGAAGCCAGAAGGACGTGCTTGTAGGATGTTTACCAATCTGTGTTGACCTCCCCGTCAGCTGTGGGCTTGTTCCACGTTTTTGGACAAAGATGATTGGGCCTGTCCGACCAATCGAAAGATTTAGTGCTGCTGCCTGCAAGAGAGAATGAGTCCAGTGCAATCAGTTGATCCAGAAGCCGGAAGGAGGGAACGTTCTCGTACGTACGACCTTAAGCTGGAGCCATAAGACAAATAAAGATTCGATATATCCATCACGATAAGGAGAATGGTGGTTTGGAAACGAACCTGAGGATCGAAATGGTCAGCCTTTGGGGAGACGACAGCAGTTGGATTGAGAACAGCAGAAAGCAATGCAAGATGGGCTGTTCGTCGAAATGGCAAGTGCATCGTTGGCCTTAGGCCATATGGCGATTGATCGCCTTAGGCATGGAGCACCTGCTCAAAATCAATCTTACCCAGGACATGCGCTTCGAAACTACCTTAGTTCCTTGGTACCATTGCAGCGAGGTACGAGCTAGATTCCCATTTGATTGTGCATCGAGCATACAAACTGACCAGACAATGGATGGCAGGTCTTCAGAGTTCCGGCCAATGCCTGGTCTATCAATGTGCAGTACCCTTGAACAGTGCTTCGATTCGCCTATGGCCGACGCAGCATTTTTACTGTGCGCAGAAAGGATCCTGTCAGGACCGTACAGATACCGTTTCACTGGCCTATCCTCTGTCATGGATACCCTTAGCCAGCCTTGGACTATCTGTGCCATAATTGACAGTTATGACGTTGAACCCGTCCACGTGAATATCAAGATCGGTTGGCGCCATCTAGCCTAGGCGAAAATCAGCTTCGACATTAGGGCCAATACCTGTGAGTCTCTCCACAGCTTGTGCAATAAGACCGTTGGCTTCTCCTGGTGTTCCCGATGCAACTCGAACTGAGAAAACTGCCCTGCGATGCTGGGAACACGTTGGTTGCGACACTGTAAGTGGCCTTTCGACTCGCTCCAATAGTGAACCAATGCCTCCCTTAGTGCTGTACCAATCCGCAGTTATCTTTGAGCAAAGTGCCCGGATGTTGTTCGTGATACATGGAGTTCGAGACTTAAGACCAAGTCTCGAGCGCTTGGACACCCATAAAGGTATATAGATTTTCCAGCAGGCGCTCTACTAATTATCAGATTACTATCTCAAACTACCAGCGACAATTTCTCAAAGCTCAACTGGAAGGACAAAGCTGGAATACCCTACTTGATCTTTGTATTGCCATATTGTCCGTATGTCTTCGACACAAAAACCACCCCTCAGGCAGTCTCCATCAGCCCAAAGATTCAGGCAACGAGGCACAGATCAAAACAAGAAGATCATCACACCAGCCAAGAGAACTCCTCGTATACTAAGTTTTCACGGTGACCCGTTTACGCTCAACCCAAGATTGACGTGTTTGTCCAAAGGAAGTCATCCCCTTTTTAGCATACCTGCTAGTACTATTACCAAATATCACTATATCCACAAATATTAAACGTCCGTGGATGTGGGTTGTCTGGGTGCCTTTTTGGCCTAGTGGGAATATGATCGACAACATGTGGGTTAGGATATTAGGTAAACTTCAATAATCAGTTAGGTAGATTCTTCTGTACAAACAGGCTGCCGTGAATAAGAGTCTCTCGCTCGCTACTCTGGGCCCACAGTCTCAGCCATGCCGATCACATACAGCCTCAACGCAAAGCCTCACAAAGCTCCAGTCCGCAAACGGCATTGGTAGAGCAGTCTCATTCAACGCTTCTTCCAAGACCCCAAGCCTCGTATTGTGAACGCTCATCTTCTGCCAAGGCTACCAGCGATCAAAACTGCGCCCGATGACTTCACAGAAAATGAGGGAGAGCGTGGTGCAGAGTCCGGTTATAAATAGGACTCTCCCTGTCAATGTAAAAGATATCCCTACCCTCCACCGTTGAGCAAACCATCACCTAAGCAGTCATACCACTCACTCAAATCCACCATGGAATCCGAAAAATTCAACTCAAGTACGTCTCGCCTGATCTCCCAATCCACCGACGAATACTCGTAACTAACATAAGTCACGGCCAGCCCCACTCCCGGCGTACGAGCAACACCCCAGCCCAGAAACCCACCAGGCAGCGCCTATAGTCCCCCAAAACGCACACATGCAGCCTCGATCACACCTCCCACACGACCATCCCCAGCAGCAACCGCTCGCGCAGCTCCCAGCGCCGGGATACTACCAGGCAGGGCCCGGGATGGGCCACCCGAGCGGGTACAACACCGCGACGCCGCTACACGCACTGCAGCGCGGGCCGACGCCCGTTGACTGTCCCGTCTGTGGACATCGGGAGATGTCGCGCGTGGAGGCGCACTCGGGGAATACCACGCAGTAAGGTACCTCCTACTCTTTAGGGCAATAGAAGCTAATGTGGGCTAGTGGATGGGCTGCTGTGCTGTGCTGCTGTTTCTGTCTTGGGTGTATACCCTACCTGATGTCGTCGCTGAAAGACGTCAACCATCACTGTGGGAAGTGTGGGGTGATGTTGGCGACGTGGCATAATAGTGGACGGGTGGATGTGCATCATGCGGTTAGGAATTAGTTGTCTGTTTGTTTGTGTGTATGTGTGTGTTTTTATGATACCAGAATTAGTTTGTGTAGTTCATTTCCTTTTCGAATTCTGATCAATGCGACTGTCGCCGCGGTTTTATCAAAGCAAAGTCCCAACAACCAACACCAGGTATCATTTAATGCACAATGCTACTATATACAGTTTTAAGAAAACCCATGCGGTCAAGCAGCCTCATAAATCGGCCGCTTGATATCACTCGTCCCATCCATCTCGTGCACCTGTCGGCTACTGCTCAGTTCCGCCTCTGCCCCGTTTCCGGGTAGCTCGACGAACTTGGAGCCTGCGTATGCACGCGGATGCGCATACGGATAGGCCTGGGACATCTCCATCTCGGCGAGTTCCTGCTTGTTGGGGATGCCGTATGCTGGTGCCGCAGAGCCTGTATCGTTTGTCGAGACGAGGCCTAGTGGTGAGCCTGGTGGGAATTGTGGTGTCTGTGGGGATGTAGCGCGCGGGTCGGTATCGGGTATCGGCTGGGCTGTCTTGCGGTTGCGTCTTCCGAAGAAGAAGAAGAAGAGGGCGGCTAGAATGGCGAGGGCGGCAATGGCGCCGATGACGATTCCGGCGATGGCACCCCCGGAGATGGATGATGAGGAGGGCGTTCCGGTCGGAGTGGTTGATGCCGCTGCAGAGGTGGCTGATTGGGATTCTGGTGCTGTGGTTGTTACGGCGGTGGAGGTTGGGGTTGCTGAGGTGGACGAAGTGGACGAAGTGGTTCTTGTGGAGGAGGTCGAGGGGAAAATGACGCTGACGGACTCTGGAGGCATGGGGTAGACGTCGAAGGCGGAGAGATTGCGACTGGCGTCCTTACGCCAGACCTTGCCGTCACAGGAGAGACCGGCGATTTCCGAGCATGTGGTGTCCTTGTAGAAGTGCATGCACCATTTTCCCTCTGGGTCCCAGGCAAAGGCCTCGCCTTGCTGGTGCCAGATCTGCGTACAGTTTTCCGCCTTGTTATCTTCGACGATGGTGGCGCCAGCGGTCGAGTTGCGCCATGTGAGGGTCCACGCGGAGGTCAGTGGTGTGAGAGCGAGAACACCGATCGTGAGGGGGAATAACCTCGATGAGAGAGGTGCCATGGTGATGTGAGGTTCGCACAACACGCAACAAGACGAGAATGGAGGTCAAAACGGTGATTCTCCTCGAGTGGGGAGCGGCATGTTTAAATGCATGGCAGCATGTGTGGTGGATCGGAGCCGCACAACGCTAGGGGGCGCGATCTCGTATAAAAAGTATGACAACCGGGATGTTTCCACGAAGAGACGGGGTTTGAAGGGTGTTCGACAATGCTTACTGGTGCAGGCTCGATGACAGATGATCGTTTACTCTGTCAGGGGCCGAAGATCCATGCCTGTGGTGCAACTTGGGCACGCAGCGGGTGTCCGGAATGGCACAAATTGGAAACACTTAGGAAGGATAAAGCTGAGGCAGGGAGCCAACCGAAGGCAAGCAATGTGCCTGGACTCTGACTCGATTTCCATTCTTAACGAAGCGGATTGTTGATCAACGTCCGCGGACACGTTCATTGGTGCCTCATGGCCCGAATACGAGGTCATGGGCGTAGCGCAGGGTTAGCTTTTGAGCAGTGGATACCAATATCTTCGGCCACGGCAGAAGTCATTGGCATTACCGAAACAGATGATATTGAAGAAGGCATTGTGTGTCTAATAGCCGTGTTTGAGATGATACTTTCTCATAGTGAACGACAGGGTGAGCGAAGATTCAAGGGATGATGTTCGGGTAGGTCGAGTAGAGCGTAACACGATGGCATTCCCCTCCTGAGAATGCCAATGCTTGGCGCGCCCTTAGCGCAGCTATCAAGACGAGAAATGGGGCCATTTTGCGAAGGATGATCCATCGAATATGGATGGAGATTCTAGGAAATTAATCTTGGAATTGAATCTGCATATGAAAGATGTTTATATCCAACCACTTCACTCAAAATACGAGTTTATGGTTTCTAAGTAGTGATGGCGCATTCCTCCCACTCTATGTTCCTGAACCCTCTACATGTGCAAACACTGTGCAGTGAGTATAACAAAGGAGTGCTGACGTCAAGAACTATTCATGCCTTTCTGCTGCTTCCCGACTTAATAATGCTTATCAGTCAATGATAATGCCCATGATCGAGTGGTGACGCAGACGGAACGGGGGATCCACAGAGGTACCTTTAAGTCTTTGCACGAATTGAGAGAGGTTACATACAACATATTTTCAACAGAAGGGTTGATATTTCTCTCAAATGGTCCGATTGCTGATATGGATGGAAATCGGCCTGGCCTTATCCAGAGAAGATATTGCTTGTCTATGGACTACGGAGAATGAAGCCACTGGGCGATAAGGGAGATCGACGTGGGGTTGTGGGGTGCCGGAGCTTGGCGGATAGAGCTTCGTCTTGATGGAGGACAATAGAGGCCAATATCTTTCAAGCATGTAGCTGATGCTGCGCTGGAGCTGCTGCGAATAAATCTCAAGCTGATATGAAGGCAATCATGTCTAACTGTCACCGTGATGGATGCACCGCAAGGATATTGTCTTGTTAGATCCTTATCAATTAGCTTTCTGCTCCCTTTGCTCATAGACGAAGTAAGGTTGCACTGTTGATATCTCCACGTCATTGCCAACCTTGCACCTGTCCACCTTCCGATGCTCCCGATACTCTATCGTTGCTCGATCTCTCGCCCATTGACTGCCTTTGCTCTCCCAGGTCACATCTTCATCTGAGGCAGAATCATCCTGACAGTGATAGACAGTCTTTGCCCCCCTCTTCTCTTCCTCAGCTTCACACCAGCCAACCTGTAAGTCAATTGAATCCACAGGTCAAGAAAGAAGAAACTGACAAGACAGGCAATGGCGGCAATCGCACTCCGCGACTCGCATATCTATCACCTAGCCAAACGGAGCAACTGGGCGAGCGAGAACCCCGGTGTTGTTCTGGTCTTCTGCATCGTCTTCCTTGTCGGTGTAGGAATCATCAGCCTCTTTGTGTATCGAAGATGGATGGCACGAAAGGCGAGGAAGGCGTCCTTTGACGTGGAGGAGACCAAATAGGTTGATTGGGGAAGAGAGGCCTTGCGTCTTGGTTTAATTTTCTTATTGCTCGATGCTGGATTGGCCATGTCCAGTGTCTCTAACAATACCCTCTCCGATTGTCCGGAGGTGTGAACTATGCTAGACATCTGAGACTGTTGTGGTAGCAAGAGGCAGGGCAGCAACTGCCAACATAATCATAATCGCATTCAACTCAGTACACTGTCAAACATTGGGATGGACTTGCACCTTCATCCCTCCCATATCACGATACTCATCCAACGCAGCATTGATCTTATCTGCATCCAACCCCTCAACAACCCGAAACTCACTCGGCCTGATAACCCCCTCCTTCAACCACCCCGTAATCCTCTCCCAAAACAGCTTCGTAAAGTCATCCGGATGAGTAGCACACGAACCCCTAATAAACCGCCTCTCATATCCCATCCTCTTCTCCCCAATGTTAGCTCTATCAACCTCCCCAACCGCCGGTGCAAGCGTCACCAAAGTCCCCCGTCTCGAGTCCGACAGCACCGCAACCCCCAGCTCCTGCCTCGGTCCGAAATTGAACGCATCAAGCGCGTAGACGAGCTCATCGCCCACGATGTCCCGAACCCGAGAAAGAACATCGTCCGCATGCCGATCAACCACATGCGTAGCCCCAATCTCTCTCAGTTCGTCCTCCGTCCGTAATCCAGCCACCGCAACAATGACCCCGAACCCCAACCACTTGGCAAACTGGATCGCGTACCGGCCGCAGTTCGTCGCCGCGCCAATGACCACTAGCTTCTGGGATGCGTAGTCAAAGTCCACGCCGCTGTCGGGCAAGGGCAAACCGAATCCCCCCTCGGAGAAGAACACCACGAAGCCTGTGGCGACGTTCACGGGGATCGTGGCGGCTTCGTCGTCCGAGAGACCAGTGTCGGCGACTCGGGCAGCATACTTGATGTCGACCAGGGCGGACTGCTGTAGCCCGTTGAAGTCGTTGAGGACTTGGTTGAGTGGGAGTCGGCTCTGCGCGAAAATATGCTCGCCGATGGTGAAGTCAGTGCATGTGTCCGGTCCGATGGCGATGATTTCGCCGGCGAGATCGTGCGCGGGGATGTAAGGCGTAGATGTTACGAAGAGACCGCGATCGCGCGACTTCTGGTCATGGGGGTTTACTGTCAACGGTTAGTTTGGGCAGTCCAGTGGGGAGGGAGGTGTACAGCCGGCAGAGGTGAGTTTGATAAGGAGCTCGCCCTTGCCCGGTTGCGGGATGGGACGATTAATCTCGACTAGACGGTGGCCGATTTCCGGGAGTATGAGGGCTTTTTGGGACATGATGCTGAGGAAGCCTGTCTGTTGGAGAGCGAGCTTGTGTTGGCGACACCATGGTATTGGTGCTATTTATACCAGTCTCCCTCGTATGCGAACAGCGAGCTGCAACTACAGTCAGCATGATGATCATTGTCTGCCTGAGAATGGATAATTCCTTCACTTACAGTCAGAAAACCTTGGCAGAAGAGTTGATCAACTCGGATTGATAGGAATATTCGTGTCCTGACTCATTTGGTCGCGGTTCGAATATCTGACTTGGTCTGACATGGCTGATTCAAGCTTCAACGGCCGCAAGCCCACCGACCGAGCAGATACAACAGTCACCTTATTGAGTATGTAGAACAACATATTCCCCGATGTAGTACCACTGGTAATTGATGGATCTTAGTAAGATGAGCTGGCGGAACTGTCATGCATTATTGGCCACCCGAAGTCTATCCTGATCCCACTGACAGCTCCATGACACCTTGATCCCGAACCATGACTACACCTGTTGCCCTCCACCAGTACATGCACCAGCACAGCTTCATCAGCATAATATCAAAATGTCCCTGTTATCATTTCTCGTTATCAGTCTCACCCTCACCTCAGCTTACTTCTACGTCTGCCATCGTTCCCTAGCGTCCCGCATCCACCCCGTCCTCCATACCGGCACTCTCCCCCAATCCCTCTCTTCCTCTGTCCTCTCCATTCCACCCGCCGTCTTCACAAAGCAGTACTTCTCCCTTTATTGTCAGGCCTCACGCTCCGTTCCGCGCCAACTCCTTCCATCGCACGATCTCCCCGCTCTCTTTGTTCTGCTCCTCCGCCGCAACCTAACTGTCTTCTCGCACTTCCCCAAAGCCTGGAAGCAACGATCCACCTGCTCCAGAGAACTGAGTAGGACCTTCCGTTCTGCGTATATACAATCTTTGGACTTTAACGAAGGCGACATTGTCTGCGCAGTGTACCGAGTGCTAGTCCGGACGCCTGATCGTGTGGAGTTCGATGTGGACATGGAAGAGTGTGACGGGCGGTGGGTGATGCGGTACTGGGAGGAGGGCGAGAACGTGGTCTTTTGCAGTGAGACAGTTACCTGGCGACCGACCGAGGCAGACACCCCAATGCCGGGGGAGAATCGTATGCTGCGGCTCATCCATGAGACAATGGCGTGGTGGTTGTTGGATTTCGGGGTGCGGTATCTGATGGATTTGGACGGGGAGTTGGGGCCGGAGGAGGAAGAGACCGGGAATAAAGGGTTGGTCAAGTAGTCTTTGTTGTGTCTCATACCTCTATGACATGAGTGCCATGATTGATGGGGATTGTAAAAAGAACAAAAAGTACAAGGGCTTTGTATGTCGCCAGGGTCAGGGTCTGATCGCGACAATAGCCCACTAAAAGTGCTTTGCTTTCGATGCTGGTGATAATGTCTCGATGCATGTCTCACCTGCATGTATATAAACACATCGAATCGAACCGTGACATCGACATACCATCTTCATCGCCATCGCTTTTCGCAATGTGTCGATATACCTTCCACCACTATACCCGCTGCGGCCACATCTCCAGCTTCGATTTCCATAGCTGCGTTGAGGTCATTAACCTGCTGCGCGGATTATCCCATCCCGGCTCGAATTCGCCCGAACTGACCTGTACCAATATCAAGGTTGAACACGACCTGTGCTCCACTAAAATAGAGACCTACTGTCTGCATTGTGAAATTGACTGGCAGCGCTTGACCCAAGGCACTGAAGGAACCGTTCGCAGCATCCCGAACTACATTTCAATCGAAGGGTCTGACAGCCCAGACCCAATCATTACCACCAAGATGCAGTGGCAGGTTACCAAGTCCCGAAAGCGCGATTTCCACGACGCCTTTCTCAATCTTGACCTCGATGGCGACCACAAGTCTGATAGCAGCAATGACAGTACCGTCCAGCCTACCACCATCCCCAATGCGTTAACTCTCAGTTCCCCCGAGCTGTGGCATGACTTTGTTGATGTCCCGCTGAACGTCCATGACCACGACGCTGCAGACCAAGGCAAAGAGGATTGTGGTCCCAGTCCCGCGAAGAAACGTAATGGCCCCATCTCTGAAGGCTACGTGGTGATTGGTACTGACATCGTCACCACCCAGGCAGAACGACTTACTAGCGCAGTCAACAACGAAGAATCCTCGGACGAGGGTGACTTCTACAGCCTATGGCTGTCTGACTCGGACTCGGACCCGGACGATTGCGAGACAGATGGTACCACTAGGTCCCTCATGCGCCAGCTGGAAAGGTTCACTTTCCCAACCTACCGTTCTACACCTCGAAGCCTTGAACTCCCTTGTTCTCCGCGCACCCGTCATCGTCCCGAGCCATTGCCCCTGTACGTGGGCTTTCCCGGCCAACCGCCGGAAAGGTCACCTCGGACGCGCCGGCCTTCGTCTAGGGGGAATTATCTTGATGCGAGGACGGAGCTGCAGTCGCCTGTGTTTGAGGGGTTTCCTGGTATTCTTCCAGATGAGGAGGAGTTGGGACTGCGGTCGCCTGGTCGTGCGAGTTTCCCACGTATTGTGATTGAAGATGTTGATGAGGAGAAGAAGGGGAAAGAGAAAGAGAAGGTAAAGGTGGGCAAGTCGACTGGTACGGTATTGGGTCTTCGTGGTGCGAGTTTGGCTAGTGGTCCGGGGTGTGCCGTTGCTGTGTTGAAGGGGTCGAATATTGCCATGACGAGGGAGTGAATTGCGTTCATTTGCTTCGGTTGTTCTCTTTTGCTTTTATTGCTTCATGCTATTTGTGCCTTCCCTGTCTGACTCGTTTGCGTTTTTATACATTTGCTATACAGAATTCACAAAGTCCTCGACGACAGCTCCAGTCATCTCCGCTGTATAGTCAATAGCCCGAAACTGATTCCAAAACAGAAGGTTTACCAACATCAGTTTCGTGGTAACTACTAATACAACGACCATCTAATCCACCGTCCCCTGCAGTTCTACATTCTCAACCTCCTTGCTCCTGTTCCTCGTCCACTTGAGACGGTAGATAACCCAAGCCAAGTACATCGCGCCACATACACCAGCAACAACCGCATACGCGATCTTACCCCCATGAGTATTATCCGCAAGCCGAAGCCCTAACCCACCATTCACCATGCCAAGGACAATCAGAATCCGGCCCAACCAAACATGCACAGGGGCTAGAGCCGTGCGCGTCTTCTTCTGGATATACATCCAGTGGTGGATGGCACCCAGAAACGGCTGGATGAGCATGAGGACCACGATGACTGTTCCGAAGATCGTGTGGGCGTTGTTGTGCAGCTATAGAGTTATTCATTTGAACACATTGCAGAGATGAGGGCACTTACTCTGTCCAGTATCTTTCCTACACGAAGACCAGTGACCAGACCGCCGAGCATAAGAGCCCATCCTACGAGTTGAATGCTGGCATGGATCCAAACTGTGTGTTTGGACTTGGAGAGGCGAAGTATTGTAGCACCAAGAGGGAAGATGAGTATGAAAGCCACACTCATCAGGATTCCATGTGCTTTGGCGTAGGAGGGTACTAGGTGGAGATCTTTATACAGGATGGTAGCCGAAGCAGGTTTGGCGAATGTCGCCGCTTGATACTAATTAGTAGTATGTTGATGAGGGGAACGCAGTACATACCCAGGATTGAGTATAGATATGCCGTACGGGTTAATATGTTATCCATCTTGTTGCTGAAGGGAGAAAAGCAAGGTTGATCTACTGTGCCATCCATATCAAGAACAGCGAGTATCAAATATTTATAACATCACTCATGGCCTTCTGCCTTGCGTCTACTATACTATTGTTGATGAACAGACCGTATTATTGAGCAAAGTGCTTATATTCCAAGCAAATCTCCAACCAATCATCAGCCAACAATGTACAAAGACCGAGAAATGCGAGTTGCAGGACACAGCCACACCAAGCAAACAACACCAGTCATCAATACGAGACCCTTAAAAGCGGGAGGCAGTCCAGGTAAATGACCGAGAAATCCGAGATGCAGCTCTATCTTTTATCGAAATGACCAGACAACGTCATCTACAGCCGGCTGGCCCAACTCCACCACTCCCTGCGCCCGCCAAACCGAAAGCATGTCTTGGATGTCGAACTCGAAAGGTAAAATGCGACAGGGGTTCGCCATGTAAGAACTGTGCTTTGTGGTCAATAGAATGTGTGTATCCGAGCCCGAAGCGGACGTGTTCTAGAGCGAAGAAGAGAGCAGGGACTCCGAAACAAGCACGTGGAAGAGTCGATACCAGATCGTTTACGCCATCGCTAATTCCGTTTGGCTGCCGCTCTGTGGAAGTAGCTCCTTTGCATCCCTGCTCGACGCAAGCGCAAGTGTGCTGGCGAATGTACATCCAGTACATCGATCCCCTGGTCAAGGTTCTGCATACGCCTTTGGCAAGTGCAGCAGTGGGAAAAGCAGTTTCCAACTGTACCTCTCTGGCCCCAAGCGAGGAAGCATTGCTATTTGCTGTATACTTTGCATCAATCTTGAGCATGTCCGCGGAAGATATCAGCGCCCTCCTCGGAATGGACAAAGTCGCCGCAGTAAAAACCTATCGCGCCGCCACAGAACACGCACTAATGCGAGCAAACTTTCTCGTGACGGATGATCTAGCCGTCCTCCAAGCGTTCGTTCTATTTCTCTCGCTGAGCAGCTTCACCGATGAGGCGAAGCTAGTCTGGCCGCTCACGGGCATCGCGCAGCGCCTCCTAACCACGGACACAACTGGCAGCGATTGCCCCGTCTCTCAGGAAATCCGTCACCGTCTTTATTGGCAGCTATGGTACATGGACAAACGGGCCGTCGAGGACCAGGGCAAAAGCGCATTGGACTCGACGGAGAATACCGTTTCCCTTCCGCGTAACATCACCGACACTGTATTAGATTCAGGCCATACCTCATCAACCATGCAGGATAAAGGATGGACGGAAGCGAGCTTCCTTCTCATCCGACTTGATATTGCTAGAACACGCTCCTCGCTCGCCACCGCGCAGTCACTCTACGAGAAAGAACAGCTCATCCAGCAGTGCCATGGCCGTATAAAGTCACGATATCTGGCTTCCTGTGACGGCAGCCAGCCTATCCATTGGCTGGCGAAACACGTCTCTAGCGTGCTTATCGCTGAGATGTGGTTCGAGATTCATAGCGCGGCGTGCTCATCTACGCTTGGTGCCATGATTTCCTCTCAGGGCACGCGAGCTAAACTCTTCTCCACGGCGGTCAGTATCATCGACATCCCTCGTCGGGTTCATGAAGATTCCCAGGCGAAAGCGTGGAGCTGGTTGCTCAAGGGATACCTTCAGTTCCAGCCTTTGTTGTTTGTGGCGGCGGAGCTTTCGTCGCGGAAACTGGCAGATTCACTCAGTGTGCGGGCTTGGGAGGTAGCACATACTGCGTTTGGACGATGGCCAGAAGAAACGAGGAGAACCAGACACGGAAAATTGTTGGATACTTTGTTGAAAAACTCGCAGGAGAGATGGAGGGGAGCGCAGCAAGAGGCAGCGCTTGCTACGGCTTCCTTGTTGACAACTCCTCTAGCATATGCGTCTGTTCAGGAAAGTGAAAGTCAAGTCCATCTTGTCAATAATAAAGCGATTCAATCAGGCTGAAATAAGAAAGCATGAATGTGGACCCATCCGACCAATCAGCATCCCTCTTTCAAAACATTCATCATCCACTCCTCATGGAGATCCCTTCTCTCATCTCCATCCCTACCTGTCTATCCATCAACAAACTCCCTCACAATGCTCCTCTCTCCCCGTTTCCACTTCTTTGAGATAGGCGACCAACCTTGGTGCCCTGACTGGGTAATCGCCTACATCCAGTCCTACCTCACCAGCGTCTGGAACCTACACATTCCGCCTTTCAGCCGGACCTCCCCGGCAGGCACAGCGGCCGAGCTCGTCACCGAAAACCTACCCGATGCATCATCTTACAACTTTGTAGACTGCTGCGCCGGGGCAGGAGGGCCCACATCGACCATGGAGCGCGTCTTGAACTCTCGGCTCCGGGAACAGGGGAAACGGCCCGTGCGTTTTGTGCTAACAGACCTGCATCCGAGGATCGATGCCTGGGCCGCCATTGCCAAGAAGCAGGAGCATGTATCCTTTATTCCGGAGGCCAGAGATGCGACATGTAGTGGGCGGGTTGCGCCCGGGGGGAAGGAGTGTCGGGTATTTAACTTGTGTTTTCATCATTTCGACGATGCGGTCGCGAAGGGGGTTTTGAGGAATGCGGTTGAGTCGGCGGATTCGTTTATGTAGGTTCACTTTCAAGATGAAGAGGTATGTGGGTGATGCTGACTTGGCAGTATTTTTGAATTCGCGCAGCGCAACTTCTCCTCGCTGCTGAATATCCCTGTTATGGTGCTGTATCCTTTTTTCCACACGCTGCAGCGGTACAGGTACTCGCCTTTGCATCTGTTCTTCACGTATGTGGTGCCGTTGTTCTCGGTGGTCTGTTCGTTTGATGGGTTTGTGTCTACGTTGCGGTGTAGGACTCCGGAGGAGTTGAGGGATCTCCTTCGGCAGCCGGATCTGGATGTTTCGGGGTGGGAGTTTACGTCGGGCAATCGCATGATGATCTGGCCTTTTCTGCATATTTACTGGTTTATGGGTGTAAGGAAGCAGTGATCATATTCTCAGTCATGTCGTCAGGCGGACAGCTCTAGCATCATTTGCTCTGCCTCTTGCAGAACATCGAATCCCAAAACAGCTCGTTGTCGCGAAGACATCAGTCCAATCCAGTCTGTCTCTCGGGTCAGGCCTGACCATCTCAGAACCAAGTCGCGCAGTCGTTGTAAGATGCCGTCGGCCAGGTGAAACCCGCCTCGGTTGCGGATGGCGCCTTGGACGTTCCGGGCAGTCCGGGACTTTCGAATGTCCTCGTAGAGTTTCAGTGCTTGTGGGATTTTTGATTTGTAGTCTTCGGAGGATGCTATGTGATGGAGTAGCATTCCCAATACTGCGCCATCTTCCGCAGCCATGGCGGCACCCTGGGCTTGATATGGCAGAGTTGGATGACACGCATCGCCAAGTAGTGTAACGGAGCCCTGGAAGGCATTAACAAGCCGTCAATTATGTACCGGTCAAACAGACCTTGGTCCACCTCGGCAACTCGGGAAGATGGCACAGCTTCCACTTCAGGACAGTCGGGATACAGGAGATCATCTTCCCCAGCCTATTCCGGTTTCAGTACTCGATGTCCCAAAAACCCAGAGAAAACAGAGACGAACGTTGGATCCCACTCTTTGTACCCATACTGCATCTCATCCACATCCCCCTGCGTCGTACGCACTCCGGGCGGCAGGTCATCGGGCTGGAGTAGCACGAGATTGTACTCTTGTCCGCCACGAACGGGGTAGAAGACGGCATGTTTGTGAGGGCCTAGCCAGGCAGTCACGCCTTGTTTCGCGCAGAGCGCGTTCACCTCTGGATCATTCAGGGCTAAGAGCTGAGCTCGCGAAAAGGTAGCGCGGTAGGCTAGGTCCCCGGTTTCTTCGGGTGGATGGGGTTCATCGAGGACGACTTCGCGGACGTGGGACCAGAGGCCTATATTATGAGCTTTAGACGTGGGTAGAGGATGCAGACGAAAACGAACCATCAGCGCCAATGATCACGTCGCCAGTGATGGTCTCTTTACCCACAACGACCGCAGTCTCGTCAACGAGGACCTTCTCCACAAGCGCACCTAGACGAATCTCCACTCCTAGGTCTCTAGCCTTGTCGAGAAGAATCTGGTGATAATCCGCGCGATGGATGACACTGCACATTTCAGCAGAGCACTACGATAACAGGGATACATACATCCATGGCGCTCCATACTCCTTCACCACCGACTCACCGCAAGGCATCGAGGTGATGATCCTCCCATCTTTGTATCGTCGCAGATCCGTAAACTCGAGTTTCATGCCCTTGTCCTCAATTTGAGGCAGGACGCCGAGTTCCCGCATAATCCGGGCTCCATTTGGAGGAATTTGGATCCCAGCGCCAACCTATCGAGTCATCTTCTGTCTAACAACCAGTAGTATTGTAAATTGGGATGTTGATCCTTACCGGCAGAATTTCGGCCGATTGTTCCAGAATAAGCACGTCCAGATGGTTTTGGCGACAAGCAATTGCACAGGCCAGTCCGCCGATTCCCGCTCCAACTATGATGACTTTCATTGCTTTACTTTATGTACGTCTTACCCCTCTTGCTATACTGGGATGAATACTGGACATTGTGGATGCTGACGAGGAGATGCAGAGAACAAAGCACAGAGAACAAAGCACAGAGAACAAAGAACAACGAGCGGTGAGCCACGTGCGGAGGGTAGCGTTATCCCTGCCTTAGTATGGCATATAAATACTGCTATATACATCTAGATACTGGAACCTTTGCTACCTTGACTTCGCGAGCCTCAACTTTGACAATTGAGATCAAATCAATATCAGTGCATAACTTATGCAGATAGTATGTTCCTACATTTACAGATATTATTTTGAGGCAAGTATACATTGGCCATAACACGTGAAGACATGTTTATTCTGCTATCGGCTGTTTTTGACCAAGTGGATCCGTAGGCGATAATAAATTTAGCTGCAGTATCGGATAGATTACCGCCCAGCAAGTACTGAGTCAGTTACCAGTCAGATGGACCCAACCCTGTAGACTTCACGAACCATGGATGCGGACTCTCTTGTCTCAGATAGCGTGTCTTCCTCTTAGCCTGCCCCTGAGACAATTTCACTTAATTCTTCCGAGTACTCTGAAACAGGCCGATTGCAAACTGGGAAAGTCACCTATACCAGCGCGTTTCACTTTGGCCAAGGGCTTCGGGAGGGTTCATTCCGATAGGCGAAAGTTTGCCTATAAAGACCGTCGCTCCTTTCTATATCAGTCGATCGTATATCCGTTGACTGTTGCACAAGGCGGTAAGAACTATACAGAATGAAGACAGCGATTCTTTCTCTTTTCCTGGCTCTCCAGGCCTACGCCCGGGTTACGGGCTCTCCCTCTGGCTTTGCTGCCGGTACTACAGGGGGTGGTTCGGCGACCCCGGCAGCCCCCTCCAGTCTGGACCAGTACGCCTCCTTCTCACATTGCATCACTCACAGCTAACTGTTATAGACTGGTACAATGGATCACTGACAGCACTCCCCGCGTCATCCTCATCGACCGGACCTGGGACTTCACCGGCACCGAGGGCACCACCACGGGCAAATGCTGCAGCATGCCATCCACGACTGTTTGCAAGGGCGGCACCTCCAAGGGCCAGGCCTGGATTCAGGATACATGTGACGGGGGAAGCTGGGTGTCGTGCACGTACGACAATGCCGCGCTGACGCCCATGGACGTGGGCTCGAACAAGAGCATCGTAGGTGTCGGCAGCAAGGGTGTCATCAAGGGCAAGGGACTGCGTGTGCGCAATGGAAACAAGAACGTGATTATCCAGAATATTCACATCACGGTGTGTATCCCTGACCCCATCTACGAACGAAGCTGATCAAGCAGAATCTCAACCCCCAATATGTCTGGGGCGGTGATGCCATCACCCTCGACAACGCGGACAAGGTCTGGATCGACCACAACAAGGTATGTCTCAGTGCCTCTGCTAAAGGATTACTCTGACAAAGGAAGATCTCCCTGATCGGCCGCCAATTCATCGTCAGCGGCTGGGGCAAAGCCGGCCACGTCACCATCTCCAACAACGAATTCGACGGCCGCACCTCCTGGTCCGCCGGCTGCAACGGCAAGCATTACTGGACTCTTCTCCTCATCGGCGAGCAGGACTACTACACCTTTGAAGGCAACTGGCTGCACGATGTCTCGGGCCGCGCCCCGCACATGGGAACCGACCACACCAAGTCGCAGATCTTCTTCCACGGGGTGAACAACTACTTCCAGAATGTGGGCGGCCATGCCTTTGACATCGACACCAACACCTGGGTGCTGCTTGAGGGCAACTACTTTGAGAACGTTAACACGCCGCTGACCCAGACCTCCCTCAAGGCGGGCGGCAAGCTGTACACCACCAGCACCGTGAATGCGGCCGGCGCCTGTCGCAATCAGCTCGGGTATATCTGCGAGTGGAATCGGCTGGCAGGGTCCGGTGCCTGGCAGGACCGTACCGACGCCGATGTCCTGAGCAAGGCGGCTACGTTCAAGACCAGCTTGGTGGGCCATTATGCTGTGGCGGATGTGCCTGCCAAGGTTGTTGCCAACGCCGGTGTTGGCAAGGTGTAATTCTATTCTTGTGTATATTTTATTCTTCTTTTGTATACTAGAGCGGTATGTATATAGTTGGACTTTTAAAGCTGGCTGATTCATCATCGGCATTTGGGTTGGATTGCGCCGCGGGTCTTACATCAGTATGACAACTCCGTGATAACCACCTTAAATATGTGATCATTATCAATAATCAACCGGCCCACCAATTCCATTAGTCAAAATATTGCACCAAAAGATAGCAAAATGAAGTCTATTCTGGTCACCGGCGCAACAGGCAAACAGGGTGGCGCCGTCGTCAACGCCCTCCTAGCCGAAGACGCCGACATCGAGATCCTGGCCGTCACCCGCAATCCGCAATCCAGCGGCGCCAAAAAACTAGCCGACAAATCCCCCAAGATCAAACTCGTGCAGGGCGACCTCGACAACCCGGCAGGAATCTTCAAAAATGCCCATCAAGTATCGCCCGAGCCCGTCTGGGGCGTCTTCAGCGTGCAGGTACTCACCGAGTCAGCCCTCCTCTTTTGAGAAGAAAGTCAGCTAACCGCAGCAGATACCCATGGGCCAAGGCCAAACCGTCGAAAAGGAAGAACGCCAAGGCAAGGCACTGATCGACGAAGCCCTGGCGCAGAAGGTCCAGCACTTCGTGTACACGTCCGTCGACCGCGGCGGGGACGCATCCATCGACAATGCGACCAACATCCCGCACTTCATCAGCAAGCACCGCATCGAACAGCATCTGTTCGAGCGGACGCGGGCCGCAGACATGTCCTGGACGGTGCTGAGGCCGGTGTTCTTCTTCGACAACATCACCCCGGACTTTATGGGGCGGTTTGTCGTGACCGCGTGGGACGCGTATCTGCAGGGGAAGCCGCTGCAGTGTATCGCTGTCAGCGACATCGGGTATTTTGCTGCGCAGGCGTTTCTCAATCCGGCTGAGTACCGGAATCGCTGCCTGTCGTTGGCGGGTGATGTGCTTACGTATGAGCATATGCAGGAGACGATGAAGCGGAAGACAGGGCGGGAAGCGCCGACGACGTTCCGGTTGCTTTGCTACGTTGCCATGTGGATGGTTAAGGAGATGAGGGTGATGTTTGAGTGGTTCTATGCGCATGGCTACCGGGCTGATATTGCCAAGTTGAGGGAGATGCACCCGGGTTTGAAGGATTTCGAGAAGTGGTTGGAGGAGGATAGTAAGTTTGTTAAATGGTAGCCTAGTTGCCTGGTTTGCCTAGTTGCCCCATGTTATTACCACCTAGTCTGTTAACTGACAATGATAATTTGGTTCTGCTGTCTTGAATGGCCATGACTCGCTGCTCCCAACATCCCCTCGTTAGGCTGACGGCTTTAAAAGATGCAAGCTGGGGTGGAATTGGGGCCTGAGCAGGGGGCGGCGAAGTCATTGCCTTCCACTTATCTATATCTCAACGGGGTTGCTCTCAACCATGAGATATTAGGAATTCTTCTTCTGATTTACATGATAGGCGGAATCTTCAGTATAGATGAAAACGCGTTTTATTGTCAATTGCCCAGTTTGATTGTGGGGTAGTCCGGGCTATTTGCTGGTAGGGATGCGTCTTGTTCCGGGAATATCTGCTTTCGCCGAGATTGTAGAGTTTTCCCCTGCGGCTGGACTGCTAGGTTACCCCTATGGGGTGCCAAAGACCACATCCAATAGTCTTCCTACAAGACGTTTCCCAAAAGGGAATAACACGACGCTAAAAGAGATCAGGATTCAAATGCGGTCTGGGGTCTGACATACTAAAGCATTAAGTAATCATTACTCAGCTCGTTACATCGTTAGGGCATTACTACTGTAAAAGGCTCAGCATCTGCTGTCTTACTCCAGACCTTCCCCTCCCAAGTCTGCACTGCCAATCTCTCCCACAGTCGATGACATCCCTCCGAGCACGCGACGTCCACCCAGGCGAATGTTTCGAGAATCCCGACGAAATGTGGATACGACATGACATTCAACCCCCGACAGAGGGTTCCAACATGTTCGACTAGCCGCGGGTGCTCGGGCCTCTCTTCCGCCGCGATGGCCGCCACGGTAGCACACCAGAGCAGCAACGGGCTGCACAGGACCTGCGTCATCTGGTCGAGTTTGCTGGCCAGCAGCGGGAGGATCATGGCGCGGATCAGGGCGGAGCGCGGGAGCGGAAAGGTAACGTGCGTTGCGTACAGGTTCGCGGCCAGTCGGCAGGTGAGGTACAGCCCATGGGAGACGGAGAAGTCGTCTGGGGAGACCTGGCACATATCGAGGACGGATTCGACGGGGTCGTGCTCGTCGGGCAGGCTGAAGATGGCGTGGTGGACTTGGTTGCGGACGTCGGCGAAACGGTCGCAGTCGGACGGATCGAGGTGGCGATTGTAGTACCATTGCACCAGGGTAGAGTATTCGCTGAGGTGGAGGAAGACGTCCACGATGGGCCCTTGCACCGCTGGGCAGGTCGATAACAGCTCCCTGAACCCGAGTCGCTTCATCGTGGATGGGTCGTCCGGGAGGGGAAAGACACTCAGAGGAGACGGCAGGTTGATCTCGTTGCCTTCCACATCGACTCGGGGGAAGAGCGGTTTGGTCAGAGCGTGGGCCGCCTTCATTAGATCCGCGCTGGATGAGATTAGCAGGTTTCCGCAAGCAATTGGGAGTAAGTCGAGGGACGTAGACGGCACCTACATGGTGATCAACCAGCCCAGGGCGAACAGCTTGATCGACTGGATGCCGCCCAGCTGGCGCAACAGATGACAAATGACGTTCCAATGCGTGGAGTGATAGTCTCGACTGCCATAGAACGACAGCGACTGCATATCCACAAACGGGGGGGTGAACGGGCTGGGATCGCGGCTGAGGTCTCGTCTGGTGGTCTCATTGACGGCCAGATGCAAGATGGCCAGGATGACTCCATCTCGCCATTCTTCGTTGGTATAGTCGGCGACATGCTCGCGCAGCAGCCGCAGCAGCCGGCCCTTGTAGTACAGCTGATCGCGGGTGTCCAACACCGGATTGAAACCGTAGCTAATGCGCAGGACGTCTCGATGGCACGAGGCGGCCCACAGGGTGGTATATATTAAGATATTGCTTTCCCAGTTCGGCGCCAGCCGCGATTGGTAGCATCTCCCGGCGTAATCGGCACGGCGGAAGTTGGGCCAGAGATTCATGAACGCTAGTCAGGTTAGTCTCTCTCGGGATTGTGCAGAAGGACAAGTAGACCAACCATGGTGAAGGATATCGTCTACGCTTGGTCCAACGTTGGCATCCACCGGAGAAAAGGGATCTACCCTGCTAGAGACAAGGCTCAGAGACAGGCCCGAGGTGCTGCCTTGCGGCCGGTTGGACACCCGCACTCCTCCACAGGTCCCGCAGATCCGGAAAGGAGTTCCATCGCTAGCAGAGTTTCGCGTCTGAGATTGACTTTGAGATAATGTTACGCTAGTTCTGGGCCCCGTAGTCTGAGGCTCGGATGATCCCTGGGCCTGATCCTGGGTCTGATCCTGGTCCTGGTCCCTGGCCGTTCCAGGACAGGTACACCGTTGGGCGGCTAAATGCCGGTCCCGGGTCTGACGTTGAGCAATCAATTGCTCTCGCTTGGCTTCCTCCTCCTGTCGGTATGCACTCCGTTTCTCTGAGATGCGGCGGCGGATCAGAGCTGACCGTGTGTTGCGGGAGTTAGCGTCGCCTCCTCGGCCCAGCGAGGGGCCGTCCACAAAGAGGATCTGCTGAGGTTTGCCGCCTCGTGGGGTCATGGCGAGCAATCCACGCAATACCACGGTCAATCTCTGGCTAGGAGGGGTCCTCGGTCGATCGAATCCGTCTGACACATCAGAGCAGAAGCTGACGTGGGACCGGGAGTGTTTTCCTGCGCTTGGTTAGCGTGACTAGCGGGGGGACTTGGCCTCCTGGCAATTGGGTGGACAGATTTGATGGCTTATGAGCAGCTAGAAATAGCCCAATTAGAGGAGTGAGACACAGTTCCCAATCGGTACTGGTATATCCATAGTACGGAGGGCCGTATGTCCACAATACAGTATCCTACAAAGACTAGGCACTTGAACTAGGCTCAGATTAGTCAAGTGATTAATTTGTGAAGAAAAGCAAAAAACTCCATTCATGCAACAGGAACCAGTCAATCAGAATCACAGATCCCCAGACAAAGCCCCCAATCTCGCCATCATCGTCGTCCGAGGAGGCCCCTCTTCACCCTTTTCATCAAACAACAGCACCAGCATCTGCATCATAATCGAACTTCGGAGGCCGTGAACCTCCTTCCGCGACGACGAGGACGACCCACTGGAACAACTGGCCGGCGAGCCCCCCTCGCCCACCTCCTCCTGCTGCACCATATCCGCCATCAACCGTAGCACATCCTGCCACCGCCGGCGCAGCGTCTCCAGCTCTTTTGTTAACCGCTCATTGTCGATCTCGAGCTTGAGATTCGCATTCTTCGCCTCCGCCAGCAGCCGACTTAGCGCCTCGTTTTCCGCCCGCTGCTCCTCCATCTTCTTCCGTAGTTGGATGCGCTCCTGTTCCCGCCGCTCGCGGAATCGGCGCTGTGCTTCGCGGTTCTGCGATTGTCGGCGGTTGGGCTGTCTCGTTAGCTTCCCATATTGGCTTGTAGATGGCAGAGGGGAGCGTACATTAGAGGTAGCATTCACGTCATGATAACCGCCGAGCTCGCCTGGCGAGTCCTGGTTCGAGCCGAGGTAGGCCGTTGTCTGCGGCGAGAGTAGAAATAGCTCCTGCGACGGGGTCATATGAGCTGCTGGGAACCGCAGATCGCTGCTTATAGTTGGCGACAGGCCGCCGTTGGAGTCACGGTCCATGACTTCGTCCCATTGTAGGGCTCGCGGGCGGAGATCGTAGGGCATGTCTTGCTGCGGACGGAGGGCGATCGGATCTGTGTACATGTCCATCTGTATTGAGAGTCGTAGAACGGAGAGGTCAATAGGTCAATTCGATTGCCCCGAGGACGAGAGCGCAGAGAAGCTACTCATATATAAGCTTGTGACGCTGGCACCACACCACCGCGCCGGTCGTCACATAGAGTGAATCAAATGAATAGGCCATACGATTTTCCTTAACTGGGTTCTGACCGTTGTGAGGAACTTCCAGAGACCAATTTCCTAATTCGGCTCGAGCTAAGACTCTCTTGGCTTATCTGCTGGATCACCCGCAGACTGCAAGGTCTTGACACGCGGAAGATGACTGGAGCCAGGACCCTGGAGCTTCGAATCCAGACCCGTTCGCATCTCTTCCGACAATGACAGATACTAACAGATACTACCGTCTTGGCAGTGCCTCTATGCCCGACCTGGAAGTGTCTTGCCTCGCTGCAATTGGTGCGATGTCTGCCCAGCGATCTAGCCTGTTGGCACTACGACGCAGGAGATGTTTGTTCGTCTGCCCGTTTTCCCGTGTTTCGCCGGCCTCCGTTTTGCAGCCCCATTCATGGCTGACGGATTATCTAGCCCACATGGGCTGTTGGGCTCAAACAATCTGTCTCGTTATCTGATCTTTCATTTCCATCAATCAGACCCCCTGCTGATGACATTAAACGCAACCCTTCACCCTCGTGGCCTAAGGGTACTTGGAACGATCTCTGCCATGTGCGGATCTAATTATAGCCCAATGCGCCCGTTGTATTCAGGCTTACCTATGAGCCACCTACTCCATAGATACTGTATATCCAGGCTCTGACTCCTCTGTTAGAGACAATTGCCACCCTCCACAAAGCTACATTCTCTTTATTTGCCAGGCACAAAGCTACATTCTCTTATTTGCCAGGATGGTCGTAAACAGAATCAATTAGTCTATAAAGCTAGTATAGTGAGCTCTAAACCGGTATGTCTAGATAGGTTCATCTCTTGGCTCAATCAGGACCTCATTCACCGCCACATGCGCCGGCTGTCGCAGCGCATACACAATCGACTTGGCCACATCTTCCGGGTCCAGAATCTTCGCCCCCGACGGCTCGCCGTACTTTTTGATCGCCTCCGCGTCCGTCGACATCCCCAGCAGATCGGTGGCCGTGTTGCCCGGCTGGATGGCTGTCACGCGCAGCCCCATTCCCGCCGTCTCCAACCGCAGCGACTGCAGCGTCGCCTCCACGAAGAACTTGCTGGCCGAGTATACGCCTAGTCCGGGGAAGACCTTGCGTCCGGCGTCGGAAGAGATGGCCACAATGTGGCCGCTGCCGCGGGTCAGCATGCCGGGCACCGTTGAGGACAGGCAGTGCAGGAGACCCTTGCAATTCACGTCGACCGTGCGCTCCCATTCGTCCGTCTTGACGTTCGCCATCATCGTGAAGTACATGACACCGGCGCAGGAGACCAGGATATCGACAGGACCCAGCTGCTCGCTGGCGGCCTGCACCAGTGCTTCCACCTGCGCACGGTCGGTGACGTCGGTGCGCTGAATGAGGATCTTGCTGCCTTGGCCGGACAGTCGCCGTTGGAGAGACTCGAGCGCGTCCATGCGGCGAGCCGCCAATGCAACATGGCATCCTTCGCGAACGAGGGCGGTGGCCACGGCGGCACCGATGCCGGATGACGCGCCGGTGATGACGGCTACACGGCCGTTCAAAGGACCACGAATGGCGGCAACAGGCTTGCCCAACCGGGCAGGCGCCTTGGGAAGCCATCCACGAGCGAACCAGTGGCGAGTATAGGTCTCCAACAGAGCGCGATCCACCTTGGGCCGTTCCACCACAGCTCGGAAAGGCCTGGTGGCCGCGTTGTCGAGCACAACGATTCCTCTCAGGAATTCCACCGTGGGCATACCACTTCGCAGAATGTCAACCGTGAATGCACCGTCGCCTCCCTTGACCGATCCTTGTTTCTCGGTCCAAAGCGCCACCCACTCATCCCATGCGAGTCGCTTTGTCGGGTATCCCAACTCCGACAGGGCGTCAAACACCTGTCTTGTGTCGACCGGATCCGGGTCACCCAGGTGGAAAACCGTCTGGTCGGCCTGCGTCTGCGTGGCCAGGTGGACAATCGCCTTGCTGACAAAGTCCACCGGAGTCATTTCGGCCCTCCAGCCGTCAACGTCGGGCGCGTAGCCGAGCTTGATCGATTCGACTATCAATGCCGACAACAGATCCCAGGCATTGGCCGCTCCCGTGATGCTGTGACCGCTGATCGTGCCCGCACGGTGAATCTTGACGGGCAGTCCGCGGCGACCGGCCTCCAGGACCAGCCGCTCGGCCACCCACTTGGTCTGTCCGTATCCGTCCAGCAGCTTGGTGGGAACGTCTTCGACGGGTAGCATCGCATCCTCGGGCCATCCCTTTTCAGCGGACGGGGGCAAAACGCCGTTGGTGGAGACATACTGGACCGTTGCGCCGCCCTTGCTGGCCAGACGCAGAATCTCTCTGGTTCCTCCGACATTGGGGCCACGCAGAGCTGCGTAGGGGTACACCAGGTTGACGGTAGCAGCGGCATGGACGATGACATCCACCCGAGCGGCCAGCTCGTCAAACGCCTCGGGCGACAGGCCAAAGCGCGACCGGGACAGGTTACCAGGAAGGATCTCGACGCGTTCCATGATGGAGTCGCGCCAAAGACCCAGATCGAGTAGATTGCGACGGATACGAGCCACACCGCCAGGTTGATCATCGTTGGCGGGCTCGTTGAAACGCACCAAACAGATGATGTGCGCAGAAGTGCTTTCCAGCAGATCGTGGAGGAGGAAAGCACCCAGGAACCCAGTCACACCGGTCAACAGCACCGTTTGTGCATCCGTCACGGATCGGATCTTCACATCAGCAGAGGGCCGGATGTCCTCATCCAAGGTTGCGTCTGCACGTAGCACAGCCGGCAGATCAGCCTGCACGGCAGCGGTGTGACCGTCCCGGATGGCACGCACGGTTTCCAGGTGACCGGCCAGGGTAGAGTTGTCGGCCAAACGCGCGATGGCAACACGGAAACCGAACTCTCGCGAGAATTTCGACGCGAGTTCGGCCAGGGAAAGGGAGTGGCCGCCAAGGTCGAAGAAATTGTCGGTCGGCTTCAGCAACGCCTTGGGGGTTCGCAGTGTTGTAGCCCAGATGGCAGCCACTTGGTCAATGCCGATGGGATCCTTCTCCTTGGCCCCGTTGCCATTCACCGGAGTTGGAGCGGGCGGAGGAGGCAGTCGTTTCAGATCCACCTTGCCAGACACCTCGTGGGTCGGCAGTTCGTCCATTTCCACCCACAGGGCGGGGATCATGTACTGCGCCAGGTATGGCGCCAAAGTTTGTCGCGCCGCCGGGCTGTGACCAGACGGGTTGATCTCGACGACCGGACGATCGGTGCTGTCCTGGTCTCGGACAATGTACGCCACCAGCTGGCGATCCAATCCTTCGCCGTGCGCGATCACGGCACAATGGCTGACCGCCAAGTGGTTGACGATCTCGTTTTCAACCTTACCAGGAACCACCGAATATCCACGGAGCTTGATCATCGCACCCACGCGACCGGTGATTTCCAGCAGTCCTGAAGGCAGAATGCGAGCGCGATCGCCGGTGCGATACATGCGCGCACTCGGCGTGGAGTCGAACGGATCGGCGGTGAAAGCCTTGGCGGTAGTATCGGGCAGATTCAGGTATCCGCGCGCCAGAAGGGGCCCGCCAACAAAGAGCTCTCCGCTTTCGCCGTCGGGCGCCGTCTTGCCATCTTCGGCCAGAATATAGGTATGCTTTGGATCCAGAGGCGGACCCACTGGACAGTACGGGGCATTGCTGTCAAGCATCTCTCGAATATCGCCGCAGGCAATCTCGTGTGTTTCGCATGCGCTGTAGCAATTCAACAGCCGGGTGGACGGGAGGGCCTTGATGGCCCGTTTAGCGAGATCAGTCGTGACCACCTCGCCGTTCAACCACAACGTGCGGAGATTTGGCAGCCGAGCACCGAGATCGGGGTGACGCGCGAGCACGGTGGCCAGCAACGTTGGCGTCATGAGAGTTTCGGTGATGCGTTTGGCCGCCAGGAGATCAACCAGCGCGGCGGGATCATAGCTCACGTCGTCCGGAACCGCCACAACCGTGGCACCACGCAACAGTGGACGCAGAATCTCCCAGATGAAGAACACATTGCAGGCCACCCGATCACCAGGCTGCAGATCCTGCACGCCGAATCGGAGATTATACGAAAGCACAGGCGCTCGATGTGGATTGGCAATCCCCTTGGGTTTGCCCGTCGTCCCTGAGGAATACGAGACAAAGGCCAGTCGATCCAGGTCATCCTCAGCCGGCAGCGGAGTCGACGGTTCCTTGGTGTGTCCATTGGCATCTGTCGCGGGCTCGTCGAGAGCGATCAGTGGCACATCGGCTTTGACCTTTTCTGCCTCGGCGCGGTGAGTGACCACAACCACTGGCTTCGCGTCTTCCAGGACGTCTGCCAGGAGATCAGGAGGGTAAGCCAGCTCGAGAACAAGGAATGCGCCTCCTGCCCGGAGAGCGGCCAGGCAGGCGATCACATAATGGGCGCTCCGAGGGAGAAGCACGCCAACCAGACTATCTCGTCCGACTCCATAGCTTCGCAGACGCTGCGCCAGAGCATCCACTTCCTTGTCTAGTTCGGCATAGGTGTATGTGGTGCAGTCATCTTCTAGTGCGGGGGCATCGGGAGTCGCATGGACCTGCTTGGTGAACAGGGCCGAGAGGTCTTTGGTGGTATCGAGAATAGACATTGAGTGCATCAGCTTTCAATTCGGGCTGCGACAGTTGTCCTGACACTTTGCGGATCTCGGTTTCGAGGAGTTGGCGGGTATTTGTGGGACGGGGGGAAGAGGCGGTACTGTGGAGACGAAACGAGCAGAACGAATGAATGACACCGCGGTGTCGGCGGCAGAGGGTAAAAAGCAAAAGAGAAATCTGGCAGTTGTTAGTGGACCATGTGAGATGACGATCCGATGAGGCGTGGAGGGACGTGGG